AGCAGCAGCTTCCCCAACTGCAACAGCAGCAGCAAATGCCGCAATTACAACAACCGCAACAACTTCCGCCATTGCAACAGCAGCAACAAATGTCACAATTGCAACAACAGCAACCACTTCCGCAGCTGCAACAACAACAGAATCAGCTCTCAGGACTTCAAACGCAGCAGCAACAGCTTCCTCAACTGCAACAGCTGCAGCAAATGCAGCAACAACAAATTCCACCGCAACAACAGATGGTAGGTACAGGAATGGGTCAAGCTTATGTTCAAGGTCCGGGTCGGTCACAGTTGGTTTCACAGGGACAAGCTTCGTCGCAAGTCCCACCTACCATGCCTGGAGGCTTTATGAGTTAAGAGCTGCTCGTTTAAGCAGGAAGGAAAAAGAGTGTCAATAGATTGTTAGGAAATTATCCTGAAAGGAACTCCGTTTAGAAGGTCATATAGGACCACTAAAAGCAGTAATTATCTCATCTTTGAACAACTAGTGAGTTTATGGATAGAATTTGTCCCTAATTGGACAGTAACTTATATAAGAAAAATATTCCTAGAAAAGATTGCCAGATTTTGTATGGTCACCAAAACTTGGTAGAATCATTGTCTAAGTGCATAAAAATTTAGCTTTCATTGCATTTTGCTGATAAGCTGATACAAAGAAATAAAGACATTCCTCCAAAAACTAGTGTTGAGCCATCTATAATTCTGATTTGGTAGTTCTCCGAGCTTTTAAACTAGAAAGTGGTTTTTTGCGCTCTAGACTCTGGCTACAAGTGAAGCAAATATGGTCAGCACCTTTCTCCCTAAATATCAAATGTCAACCTGTTTTTAGTTTTTTTGTTCTATTTATTATGGAAGCGTGACGCTTGTCAGTGGGTCATTTGCTTATAAATTGTGCATAAGATGCGTTTTCTTTTGAGGTAAAGAGGTTCTTATATATGAGCAATCACTTTTGGCGATAGAAGCCACTGGGGTCACAAGCAAAAGGGCTTAGTTTGGTAGTGCTGTGGATTTTAGAAAAATTGTTTTTAGCTGTACTAAAGGAAGTAGTAGCTGTTATAAGAAGCAGCTGAGTGTTTGGTAAACTGTAATTATAGTAGCTGTGTTAGTTTTAAAATCAGTGTAATAGCGTTTGGTAAATTTTGAGGTTGAATTGTTGTGGGTATGTAAAATGACCAAATTAAACATGGTATGAAACTTAAATATATATAATTGTTTTTGGTATTTAGAAATACTTGTTTGACTTAAAAAAAAAAAACATAATGCTATGATTTTGAGTTTTTTAACAATAGATTTATGATAATTAATTATTATTATTATTATTATTATTTTTTTTTCATTTCTTCATTTCTTCATTCACAATATAATTACAACTAAAAGGATCATTAGTGAGTAATCAATTTGTTGAACAAAAATATACATTCCATAAATAAGTTAAAAGTTTGATCGTCAAATGACCAAGTTACATAAACAAGTTTGGCCTTAATGCCTTGTCTGTGGTCTTCAACTTTGAGTTGTGGAATTGTTTTGTGCTCTCTCTCTCTTGTAAAGCTTGGCAAGGACAGTTGTAATCTTGATAATGCAACTAAATACTATAATTATCAATTTTGGTGGGGTTCTCAAAAATTTGCAAGAAAATATGATAAATTTGTTGAGAAATTTCATGCCAAGAAACGGGCTAAGTTAAATGATAATTAATTATAGGACCACAAATAAAGAATATTTCAAACATATTGATATCTACACACACAAGTAAATGAGCAACTTCACACATTGATGTCCATACACACACACACACACGTAAATGAGCAAATTCACACATTGATGTCTACACACACACACACACGTAAATGAGCAAATTCACACATTGATGTCCATACACAAGGAAAAAGAGCAAATGAAAGGAATAGTTCTTGCAAACATATATATCCATACACACACACACACACCACGTATATGCCTACAAACATGTATATACCTACAAATACAAGCTTAAGTCCTACAAATACACACGTATATACCTACAAACTTAACTCAAATGAAAAGAATTAAGTCGTATTCATTAAACTTGCTGCAATTTGATCTCGTACTTCATCCATTTTCAGTGATAGTAAAGCTTGATTCTCTTCTATATTATTGTCATCTGGTTGATTCTCTTCATAAACGAAATCATTTGGATTATCCTCGACCCTTTGAAAATGTAGATCACGCTTATCATGTTTCCTAATGTAGTTATGGAGCACCATTGTAGCCATAACTATTTTCACTTGCTTTGCAAATGAATAATTTTGCATGTCTTTCAAAATTTTCCATTTTTTCTTCCAGACACCAAATGTGCGTTCAATGACACTTCGAAGAGAAGAATGTGCTTGGTTAAATACCTCTTTATAGCTAGTTGGTCGACGACTCATTCGAAATTGTTCTAACTGGTATCGTTCTCCTCTATAAGGTCCAAGAAATCATTTTAATTGTAGATAACCCGCGTCAACTAAATAATATTTACCTATTGAAATAAAAATACAAAGACTTTATAAAACAGAGTTCTCATGAATATAGAAGAGGTTTTAACTTTCTGGTGGTGTTGGGAAGTTCAAATTTATATGACGTAGTGCTGATAAGAATATTCTTGTATCATGAGCATACCTTCCCAACCTGCATATGCATATGCAAATTTCATATTGAAATCACAAGCAACCATCACATTTTGGGTTGGCACACGCTTTCTACCAATATATGGGACTTGATCTTCTGGTGATATTGTAGTTGGAACGTGTACGCCATCTATTGCACCAATACAGTTCTAAAAAGAAGAGAGTTCTATGTTTAAAATGAATACTTTAAATAAGGACGGAAGCATATAATTAATGAAGAGAATACCTTAAAATGTGGCATATATATACAATCCATTAATATCTCGTGAGGCACTCCACTAAACTCTGGATCATCAGGCTTTATAACATCCATACTCATACGACAGACAATGTCTAGAACGTACTCAAAATATCTACTAACTGTTTCACCAGAGTGTTGAAATTGTTCTTGTGTTGAACGATTTCTCGCACGCTGACCTAAAATGAATAAAAACATTTCGTCTATTTCAAACGTGGACATATTTCTTGATCCATGTAATCCGTAGTTACATTACAAATCATTACATAGCGACATAAATACATCCTAAACTCTAAATACAAAAGGGTATTCTGATCTCGGCTTTGTTCAACAAAATTCCTCCCTCTAGAACACAAATCAAACTCTAAACTATAGCGTCACCTAGGTTTTACATTCACAAAAGGGTGTTCTAGTTTGGGGTTATTTTTGCATGACGACTCTAAAGTTTTGGTTAATTGTGGTCTTGCAGATGGGCAAACAATTTGGTTTTAAGGACCGAAACAAATTGCTACCTTTTCCTACAATTTGGTTTTAGGTTTATTTAAAAGTTGAATGTTCTCTAACATTTAACCTGCATGAGAAATATTATCATATAAGGGATAGTGGCTATAACACAATCAGAGTAAACTTGACCTTTTCCTACAAAGAGCTTTGGACCACTGTATTGTATAAAACGTGAAATATAAGGACCGGAACAAATTGCTACCTAACATTCGGAGTGAGTAAATTTTTGGCTAGAACTACATTTTTGGAGATAACTAATTATTTATAGAAGAGGAGCCTAAGAAAAATTTTTTGTGGAGTGTGCCAGATATGCTAACCAAAGTGATTTTACAAGGTCTTTGAAGGACTTGTGTCAGCACTCAGAAAAAAATTAGATAAGCAGTCTTCTAATGACGGTCTGAATCTGACTCAATACTCTGCGACTCTGTATTTGCGACATGTATGTTCATTTTTCTCATGCACATTCAATCACTTGGATGTTATTAGAGGATCCTTCTGCCCTATTGTCTTGTGCAGTGCTTTATGAACAATGAGTTTAATCCTACTATAATTACAAATGAAAACTGTAGTCTTTCAAGCAATGGGCTGAAACAATTGTATCAGACATCAGGTTAGGATTGTTTGAACCGTCATTTTACTCCTAATCTTAAGAGCAACCACTTGATATTTGTTAACATCATCTTTCTGCACTAAAGTTGTTTAAACAAAAAATATTGTTAATTAATTTTTGTTGATTTTAGAATATGACATGGGAAATAAGTAAATGGGATTATTGGGTGTTATTAATCGACCAATCGACATTCAGAGAAAAAAAATCCCTTGACCAAATCGACATTCAGAGGATAAACAAAGAGTTTACGGTTTACAGAGCCGAGAAAAAAAATTGTATAAAAAATTCATCAAGCTAGATACCAAATCGACATTAAAAAAAAAGCTCAATCGAGTACTTAGAGATGCAGAGATGGTGAGCTCCAACCAGATCCGGTCTTAGTCAGCGACGAAATCTGGAAACCCTAACACGAGCAAAACCACCAACACCGAGAGAATAGAGATTTTGGGGACTCCGTTGCTGACAATCGCATGAGAAACTAGTCACAAACGGAGAGTAATCCGAGAGAGAGAAGAAAGATAAACAGAGGGAGAGAGTTTTGGCTAAGGCTGAGAGGAGGCTTCGGTTTCAGAGAGGAGAGATGGCGAAGGAGCAGAAAGAAGCCTTGGAAAGGAGAGATGGGGAGAAGAGGCTTAAGTTTGAGGGTTATTTTGAGAATAACTAAAGTTTCATTAATGAAGACAGATAAATTCCCGCACAATCTACAATCAGGAGCAACAAGTGAACTGCTTCTGATTTCAGCCTAAAATTACTTATGGATTCTCTAAAAATCTGTTTTTAAAGTGTTTACCAAACACATTAAATAGCTTCAACTGAAAAAAAAAAGATTTTGGCCTCCAAAAATCTCTACCAAACTAAACTAAGCCAACATTCGTTATTGCGCTGTATGGTGTTTACAAAACACCGAAATCACACTCAGTCTGATCCATCCCTCCCTCATATTTTCATTTTTTATAAGAAATTCACACAAACCAGCGAACAATTGTTTGGCAATTTGAGGGTGAAATCTATTAAATGATCCAGTTTTTCTGGTTTTCTAGCAGACTAGAACTCCAACCAATCGAATGGCAATAAGAAAAACTCTCCATAATGCAAACTGCTTAATACAAAATTATAGCTCTGCCAGTGATATGAAAGATACATAAAAGTCAATGATCTTAAATCAAACAAAAACAAGACAAAATTATCCTAAAAGAGTAACAACTGAAACACCCGCCTTTAAAAAACCAACTCATGAGGTTTCATGCCTGCCTTAAGAGAGAATCTTGCTCCGAGGTATGCCTTCAGTTCCGGGACAGCCTCAATGGACTTTATCAATGGGGTGTCCACAGACTTCTGATTATCTTTCTTTTCTTGCGGAAGCTGATTCTTCTCCTGCAAATTTTCAAAGGAAAAACAAAACATTAAAAGAAAACACACACTAATAATAACAATAATAAGAATGGTCGAATCACAACTTTGTAATATCTACGTATACCACATTCTGAAAAACCAAAAGGTGCTAAAAGAAAAGAGGACTATAAACTGATAAAAAGGATATACACAAGCAAACAATTAATGGCAATACTAACCTCCTTCTCAGTCTCAAAAAATTCTCCCTCACCCTTCTTCTTCTTCCTTCCGGATTGCTTTGCAAAATATTTGTCATCAAACTTCTCCACATTCACTCCAGAAATATCAACCTTGGTGGAAGTTCCAATCACATAAGACTGGTTCACACGTCTCAATGGAACCCCGTTGATCTTGAATGGTCCTGTAACAGAAGAGAATAACAAATCAAGCAAAACCCAATATCGAAAGATATAAAGTGTATATGCTAATTGCTAAGTATGCTTTACTAGAATAAAATAAGAAAGAAACACAAGAAAACAAGTCTCAAAATGAGGTCTTCAATATGATTGATTCTTTTTAATGCCAGAAGAAAATTAACATAGAACAAAATGTTGCACTTCTTTCAATAATTAAAACCGCTTTCATCAACCAAAAAGCTTAATAAAATGATAATAAAAGCAACATCCTAAAGCCATTAGCTCTACAAGAATATGAAGCTCAAGTTTATTTTCCATCATTCAAGTAACAGAAAACAACTCAATTATGCATTTTCCAGATTTTCCCTCAAGTATATATATATATATATATCTGGGATTCATATTCAGTCAATCAGCTTTACCCCAAACGCATTATAACCCTCCTAGAAATGGGGTTAAATTAAAATTGCAAGTAAAATGACGGCTTGTCGAAATTCAAAAATCCATAATTCCATATCCATTTCTGGAATTCTGGAATTAATCAGGTTTCTTTTAAGGCAATTCCTGAGATCTAAATCAGTAGTATCAGGCAATTGGAACCAGCTTCGATGAATTCAGAACAAAATTATGACAGGGTTTTATCCAATGAAAGTCCAAATTATCTAGGTGAGAAAAGGCAACGATTAGTCAAAAAAATTTACAAAAATTCAAACATAAAGAAAATTAAATAATGAAAAACAAAATCAGTCGTCAATAATAGTAAAAGAACAAGAAAAATTTCACCTCTAACGAATGAATCAAGACATACAAATTCATTACCACTCAGGAGATGTTGCAATCTTCCTAAAAACAAACCAAAAAAAGAAAAGAAAATTCAGAAAAACAGAGAAAAGAGAAGACTGACCAGTAACCAAAAGAAGACCAGAAGAGAGCTGCTTGAGGAAGACGACTCGCTTTCCCTTAAACCTCCCAGCCAAGATAATCAGCACAGTTCCCAGCGTAATGCTTGCCCTAAAGTTTACACAACAAAAATACAATCAACAAAAAACAAACTACAAAAATGAAATACACAGAGAGAGAGAGAGAGAGAGAGAGAAATGAACCTGAGCTTGGTAGGCTTGGGCTTGCGCTTGTTGACGAGTGGCTTCTTGACGTCGTCAGCGGGGTAGAACTTGGGAGGCTTCTGCAGCGGAGAGTCGATGGCGGGCTTGGGGTCGTGGCGAGGGAAAACGCCGCCGTTTTTGGCCTTGATAGCCCAGAGACCGCGCTTGTGGTACATCTGGGACCTCGAGTATTTTCCGACGCCCTTGATCAGGTCGGGGTTTCTGGTCTTCCTCGGGTTTCTCGCCTTTGCCGCCATTGGAGAGAGCTTTGGAGTTTGGCCTTCTTCTTCAGATGAGAAGTTGTTCGGCGTGAAAATGGTGGAGAGAGGAGGCTGTGCGAGTGAAACCCTAGGTTGCCTCTTATAATTCCCGGCCTTGGGGTTTCTGCTTTCGTGGGTTTGTGTTCGTACTGGGCCTCATCGGCCCATGCAAACCCAGCGCACAGATTGGGCCTGGATTCTCTGCCATCTTTGCTGTCTCTCATAAAAGAGTTTATTTACAATAACGTCCACATAAGCTCCTTGATTTTAAAACTTTTGTTTTGAAATGGTCCTTGATTTTAAAACTGCCAACTTATTATTTTAATCATAATAATGACTCAAAATGTATGTATAAAAACATTTTTATCCTTATTTAATGGAATACATAGATTTCAATAAAAATAGATTAAATAAAGAAATATCACTAAATAAACAAGAAAATAATTTTTTATTCAAAATTATAAAAGATCGCAGTTATAAATTTGTATTCATAAAAGAGAAAGTCAAATAATAATTATATCATCATATAAAATGGTAATATTTTTTGAAAAAGAAAAGTCCAAAATAAAAGATAAGGTATAATGAAAAACAATAATATTCTTAAAATGGGAATTTTTTTAATAAAGAATGTTTTCCCAAAAAATATGTTCACTTTCCCTAATTTTATATTCCCCAATGGCCAATTTGTTGAATATACTAGCTAAATATCACTGCTTCACATGTATAAATTATAAAAAAAGAATTAATGATTCACGCAATAAAGAAAAGGCACTGCAAAAACAACTAGCAATACGAAATTCACACATTCGAGAAATATTGACTTCTTAGCTTATTCAACAGTATTCCTAAAAAAAAAACTGGAAAGGAATAATGTACAAAGAAACCATAAATACAAAATTTATTCAATATACACTTGAGAAACCCCCCCAGAGATATCCTTATCTCTTAGCCAAAACAATGGGTGCAGTTTTTACAATTGAATTACACTAGCAATGACCCTAATCACAGAAAATTTTCTAGAGCTCACTGCAGAGTAACGTATAGTTAGCTAACATATATTTAGCAGTACATTAATATATAGGGAATTAGGAAATAATGGTACTCAAGGCCAAAAAAAAAAAAAAAAAAAAAAAAAAAAAAAAAAAAAAAAAAACTAATCAAGTTTTAAATCCAATTTTGATGGCTTGTTCAAGTGTCTTCAGCAAATATTTTGAGTATGAAATCCCGAAAGCGCTTCGAGTACTGCTTGGGATCGACGGCTGAGATGGAAGTGGGATCATATTGAATGGACTTGTAGGCGTGTTCAAGCTTCTTGCTAATGTCATAGTCCTGAAGAATGTCTATAATACCGAAGAACATTATGACTTCATAACATTCCCCGCTTGGTTCTATTATAAGCTGAAGTTCGCAGTCAGTTCTTCTTTTTGTCTTTTCAACCCTTGCTGGCATGTTCAGCCCCAATTTAATGCTAGCCCACCTGCAATCCACCACACAAAAATTGTAGCAAAACCATTTTTCTTTTATTTGAGGCCATGAATCTTCAAAAAGATCATTATCTTCTCCAGATGACTTATTACCCTAACGTTTGCAGCCCACTTTCAAACCAAAGTGATAAGTTTTTTCACACAAATACTTGGGGCCTATTTGGAACCCAAATTTTACGGAGGAAAAGAAAAAAAAAAAAGAGGGATTAATATTTTCCTATGTTTGGAACCGACGTAAGGGATGGGAAAAGGAAAAAAATCAAGAAAAAAGTGAGAAAACTTAAAAGGCCGTGTTTGGAATTGATCCTATTTTTATTTTTCACATTTTTTGAGAAAGAAAAAATAAAAATGTTTCTAAAACGGCGTTTGGCACAATAAAGACAAAAAACGGAATGAAAACGATTTTTTAGTTTAGTGTAAAATGAGAGAGAAATGAAAAACGACTTTTAGTCGTTTTTCATTTTTTGTTTTTATTTTCTCCTCTCTCGAGCAGAGAGAGAGAGACATTAATGAGTTTTTTTTTTTTTTTACACTAAAAATAATCTCTTGATAAAACTACCAAACGCATTTTCAAAAATGATTTATGTTTGAGATTGAAAACGTTTTCATTTTCATTTTTATACAAAAAATAAAATCATTTTAGAATGAGTTCTAAACGCGCCCAAATTGTAAATCCTGTATTTTATTTTCTTAAAACATCTATCTTTATTTCCTTCCTTTTTTTTTTTGAACTCTCTTTCATATTATTTTCCCTCCTAAAATCTAGGTTCCAAACATAGCCCTATAGTCCTATGTAGAAATTTTACCTGGATGGATCTAGAAGAAGCTGATCCATGTCTTCTCTTGAAAGTTGGGGAGCTCCATCATTATCATCACCTGCAAGAAGTTAAAAAAATAGCACAAATTTATATAATAACCAAAAAGTTCACAAATTTATATAAGTGGATAAAAAAAAAATTTATGTAATAACCATTGGGGGTTCTAGCTCCAGAAGGAATCAGATTCCCAGCAGCAGATGTATTTCTGAAATGAAGACCAACCAAAAGGCTATAATCCATAATCCTCTCCTGTTCAAGAAACTCACAGTCTCTATCAATTTGCCTGCAAGAGAAGATAAAAAAGTGAGAACCAAGGCAGGCAAAATTGGTACTAAAAGACTAAAATATGATACCTAGGAGTTGGGAGGGAGAATAAAGCACTAGAAAATTTCAAAAAATATGTGGAGTTGAGCCATAACTATAGTTCTAACAGGTCCTTTTTTTTTTTTTTTTTTATCGAACAAATTAATCTAGACCATTAAAATTTGAGCTACTTTGATCAAGTGTGACCCAACAATAAGAAATTTCAGCCGCCTAGATTCCCACAGACCATCATTTAGGCTTCGTTTGGTATGAAAATTCAAATCAGGATGATTCTAGTTTTGATTTTAGAACAAGAACCATAATTCATAATTTTGAATCCAAATCATGGTTCTGAAATCAGAACCAGAATCAGGGGTTTAAACTACCCAAAACTAAGGAAATGGTTTTAGAATAAGAGGTGATTCTGATTTAAAACATCACATCAGAGTTTAAACTTTAAATCAAAACTATTCAAATCAAACACTGATTTTGAATGAGTCAAATTAAAAATACTTTTTTACTTTTTATAAATTAGTTTAAATTAGAACAACCCTTATGGCTTATACTATGAAAAACTGTTGTATGATATGACCAAATTTGACTGGTTGCACCACGAGGAGACTCTGGGAGCTTTGTCTTCACATTCTCACCTGCAAAACTCCTGAAACCATGACTTCTGAAGCCGGAACATGAAGTTAAGATCAAGGTCCTTAAGGATTGTGGTTTCATCAATCTCTGTCTCAGGTTTATCTGTTGTACGGCCCAAGACTGACCCTTTCAAGTCGAAACGTCTATGAATCGTGTATTCGGTACAGAAGAGGTTCCCCATGATGATGAATCGTACCTTGATAATACAATTCTGATCAGATAAATTATTTGCCACATTGCTATGGACACAAGAAATAACAACCTTCTAATCATTTCTTGAAAAAACATGCATTTTTCTTTTCTCTACCTTCTTCTGAATTGGTTGCCCCATTAATTTTACACAATGTAGACCATAAAATTTGGTCACTAGAGTATTCTCGAAGGCTCGAACATGGTTGTAATAGGCTGAAAGCATCCTTAAAAGCACCTTTGTAATGAAACCAAGATAACTAGTTTAGCTATAATTAACCAGAGTGCATAAGAACATAAAAAGCACACACAAAAAACTCACTTTTACTTCTGATTTCTTTATGGTCTTGATCATGTAACGGTCATCATTTGTCAAGTAAAAGAAACTACCACTTTTTCCGGGAGAAGATAGCTCTCGGAGCGCGTCGTTTCCGCATATAGATATCATGTAATCAGCAGGGTCTACTTTGAACAGCTTTCTTAATGTCCTGACAAAGATCAAGTTTTAACGTTAAACATCTTCCAATTAGAAATAAATTGTATGAAAATCTCTTCACAAGTCCTCTTTTTATCTGCACTGAGAAACAAAAAAAAAAAAAAAAAAGAATTTTTGGAGCTTTTAGTTTCTGTACTCTTTGGATTGTGTCAGTTTGGTAAATAATTTTCTCTTTTCCAATTAATCCTAGACAATTCTTTTTACAATTTTGGTTCATAGTCATAAAATGGTGCATGGATTTTCAAAATTTGATGGCAGTGGGTAATCACAATGTACATCTCTGCCATAACTTAAAATTTTACTTAAAGAGTCCTAAAAAACAAAGGAGTGAAAAGACAATGAAAACTGAAAACCAACTTCTTATGTGCATTAAGAAAGTGGAAGGAATCAAGATGCATAAAACTGAAAAGGCCTGACCTGAAAACTAATGGACAGTAATCTTTCCATTTAAATTCACTGGATTGGTGTGGAGGAGTATATTTAGTTCCTTCTGGGGGAAATCTCGTCCATAGTTTTTCCTTCGGGTCGAAAGCCGACGGCTTAAGATCAACGGATGCAGTCGGAGCTGGTCTTCCAACAGCATGCCTGTATGCAATTCATCACCCCACAATCACATGCTGATAATGAGTAGACAAAGATCTACATAAATTTAATATCCATGTGTAAATGCATGAAATTTATCCTTGGAAGCACCAGAAAAACAGGGTTGTGTAGGAGTTGATATAAAATTCAGACTAATTGGTTTCTTTTTGGTAAAATTAGGTTAACAAGTAGATTACTTGTTAATAAAAGTGACTTTCTTGTTAAGCAAAAAGTTTATTAGTACAAAGCTTTTCTTAAGTTCAATTTGATTTTTATGATTTTCATACATATAAGCACCAACTATGGTGCAAAATAAGTAAAACAAAGGGAATGGAAAAAGAAAAAAAGAAAAAAAGAAATGTACAGAGGACCCAAATCATTTGCCAATAGAAACAACTTTCATGTTGCATTAAAAACCAGACATAAGTGCAATGGCTTTCTTTAGTCCAATTTGTTCTATACCAATATGCATCAAAACTACTAAAATAAGGAAAACAAAAAACATGGTCCGAAAAAATGAAAACAGAGCAAAGAGCCTGATTTTAATATAATATCATAAAGATGAGCCCACTATAAGTGTAATTATATAGTATGAAAAACACCTTATTCCAAGCTGCAAATTTAGCATGAGCTCATAATTCTTATGCCCTTTACAAATGGTCTCCCCTTGCCTCTTTACACCACAACTCCCATCGTCACCGCCTTTTAACCCCACCAAACCCTCAAGCCTATACTCGTCCCCGCCACCACCCCACAGCTTCATCCTATCAAACGGCCGCTCCCCCGCTGCGCTGAGCCGTCCATCCACTGAGAACCTCCTCGGCCTCTCTCCACCCCCGCCATCGCCTCCCTTGGAAGATCTCCAAACAGCCAGCTTCTTTTGGGAAGGCATAATGGACACCTTCTCACCCGGACAAACTCTACACTCACTCAAATCATGGTCATACACCTCCTGTGGGTCCCACTCCAGATTCCCATCCGGAGACGACCCAGATGGGTAGTAAGTCCCGTTTCGCTCTCTGGCGTCCTTACTCCAGTTCCCCACGTAGAAACTCCCGTCTGGCCACTTGAACGTCCCGTTCCCTTTCGGAACGCCCTCTTCCCAATAACCATCATAACGTTTACCGTTCCTCCATATTAACACCCCTTTCCCACAAATCTCGCCGTTCTTCCATTCTCCCATGTAGCAGTTTCCGACTCTCCATTGGTATCTCCCTTGACCCTCCTGTGACACGTCAAGAATTATGAAAATATCGATATCAATAGAAATATATAGGTATCCAAAAATTTAGTACAAATGACTCATTTTTATCAAAATGAATGTGTCATAATCGATCTTCATGTTTCACAAATTCAATCCATTTAAATTATGAGATGAGATTCTCAAAGTTCGTCTAATTCTAAGCATTATTGAAATTGTGTGATCATGTTTTTCTCAGAATTTTCTTTTCATGCTTGCCTGTAACCCGCGTCGCCATTCTCCATCATACACATCGCCAGTGAAGTAATTCTTAAGACCATGGCCATGCTTCAAGTTCATGAACCATTGGCCTTTGTAAGTGTCCCCATTGGGACCCGTGTACGTCCCCGTCCCGTCCATGTATCCGCTCTTGAATTCGCCCTCGTAGGTGGCCCCCGACGGCCAGCTGAATCGGCCCCGCCCCATGCTCTTCCCCCTAAACCACTCCCCCACGTACATGCACCCGTCCGTCCACAAGTACTTCCCCTGCCCGTGCGGGAAGCTGTCCGACCATTGCCCCGTGTAGTAGTCCCCGTTCGGAAGCACTTTCTCCGCCTGGTACACCTCGTATGCCATTCCCGCGCTAATGTTGTCGTTGTCGTTGTCGTTGTACTCCTCGTCATTGTCGTCGTCGTTGTTATTCCCGGTGGCGGGGGTTATGGCTGCCGACGACATTGTCGTTCCGAATATGGTGTTGGCTCGTCGTTTGGCCGCTAATTGTGTCCTCTTCACCGTCGCCTCCCATGCCTTTATCATGCCATTGCCACTGCTTTCTTTGCTCATTGTTTTGATATTAAAAAAATTGTTGTCGTTTATCTTTCTTTTTTTTTTTTTTTTTTTGCTAGCTTCAAAATTTCATTTTTCTTCTTCTTCTTCTTGTTTTTCTACGCACTTCCTGATAATCTGTGTTTGTCTGTGGAAGTTTCGTTGGTTGTTTTGTGATCCTTTGTTTTCGAGAAGAGAGTACCGAAAAGAGCGATGGTACCAAAGAGTGGCTTTCTTAACCAGAGCAACCGTTTCGTGGTGTTCATCATTTGGGTGGCGAGTTTCTGGCTTTCATTATTCGGAGCCTTCAAAAATCAAAATGTCCTTTTTTTTTTCCTTTTTCTTTTTCTATTTGTGCTCTCAGTAGTTTTCATGCAATTAGACATAGGATCTCGTCGACCAACTAACTTGTTTGATTTTTCAACTAAAAATACCCATAACAAAAATAATTATATTAGTAAATAATAATGAAAAGTATTGGCAAGGCGTATCTTAAGTCAAGGCCCCTATTATTAGAATTATTAACTAACTATTTTTACACCGCAAAATATTTTTGTGGAGCTCATCAAATTAAAGAATGTGTTAGTATGACTATCTTTTCTATTTTATTAAATTGTAGCCCCAACATGGTTTATTCTTTTTAGAGTATACTTAGATTTGTGTCAGGAAGCTCTGTAATTTCGCATGGTATAAAAACTTTATTTTTCATATAGAAAATTGCCGAGCCATGGGTCTAAATTTTTACTCTTTAATTTTTTATTAATACACTTTTTACTAATAGGGTTATTTGACTAAAAAATAAATAAATTAAGAGTAAATATTTGTCTCATTTTTTCTTTTCCGTAAGGCTATCTCTTATGACGTTGGTACACACCGGGAGGTTTTGAAGGACTTGGAGGAGTAGCGCTTCGAGGATTTTTAGATGCAACGCACTAATGATTGTATTGTGTATTTTTTTTAGGCTTACCAGTTAACCGGGCAGCGCAGTAAAATACCTCCTCATCATCATCATTTTTGTGTTTTTCTTCTTCTTTTTTTTTTGTGTGTGTGTGTGTGTGTGTGTGTGTGTGTGTGTGTGTGATTTTTGTGAATATTTGGTATTTTTAAAGTATCTCATGAGGAAACCAGCGCTAACACGATAGGCCACCATTGGTATCGGTGTTCTCTGACCGAAGACCATAGCGTATCACGCTAATATATCGATGGCCGATGATTTCAAAGTATCACGATAGGATACCAGTGATCCTTAGTCGGCTCATCGATTTGTTGGAATTTTAGTAAAAACTCAAATGAGTTGAATCTGTATAACTCTAATAACACTATTAATGTTTTCAGAAAGCAGGCCCAAATCGAACAAATATCACGTGGAAATAAACCAATCTTTTAAACAATCACACACTATCCCACAAAAAATACATCACGTATTTGGAGGATTTGTACCAAGTACTAGAAATATTACCATCCGTTATGGTAAATCTTTAATTATATGAATTAGTTTTTTTTCCCTCCAAATTACCCCTTTTAAGACAGCCATAGAATCATATATCAATTATTTATGACGATAAGAATACACACAACAAACGTAAAAAACAAACACTTTTTTTTTTCTTTTCAAATCTTGTTAAGTTTGGCAAGAACAAAGACAGTTGCAGAAGTGACTCCTGGTATGAAAACCTCATTAGGAACTGCGCGCGGAAACAGTTTCTGCTTCACAAACAATGCAGCAAGAGGAACACCAAAGATGTATACGAGCGTGTCCTTGGCTCCAAGTCCAGTGAATCCTGAGTCTGTTATGAGTATTTCTTGGAGGATCTTCTGAAATTCTTCCCTTGTCACCGGTTCCTTCTTGTGTTCGTGGTGAGTCTACCGAATTGAACGACATAATTTTCCGATCATGAAATTAGAAAGTTCTCTAAGAAATTAATGACTAACTAGGAATTTAAAAACTAGTTGTACACATAGAAAACTTCTAATTCTAGATTATGGTTCAAGAGGGGCTCTCACCATACAGCTTGAAACATACATTTAGATGATCTTTGTTTTAAAAGTTCTGCTTAGTTTAGGATCACGGTTTTAGGTTATGCTATAGTATTTTTTTCTCACAAAAAATTTAAAATTTAAAAATCAGAATTATGAACTATGGTTTTGAACCCATGAACCAAACGTCACCTCAGTAAAAAAGAGAGGCTTAAATGTATAAACAGTTACAAATTTTTAGTCTTTGTTCATGGTTATGTATTTTTTACATGGTTTGTATAGGAAAACGTTCCATATAGTCTATCAATTTTCATGTGATAATATTTGATAGAAAATTGACATGCATGATGTGACATGATGTCACACAATTAGCTGGCATTAATAGACATCTAACATGTTGGTCATAACTTTTATTTATTCATTTTCTAACTGAGCTATATAGTTTTTACACAACTGTTTAAAGAGTAAATAATAGTTGAAGACAAAAGAAAAAGGACAACGATCTCAAGCCTAAGTGAGAATATATATATATATATATTTAAATTTTGTGGTGGCGCATTTGAATTCTAAGCTTCAAAGTGGACTCATATGTAAATTTATCGTTAATTAATTACGCTGTTAATCACCAAAAATTAAGATTTTTCTTTATTTGAGCTGTCAATTTTCTTCTCATGACAATATATTTGACGAAAAACCTAACATAATTATCGTGAAGAGTAATGCTAGGGACACTAACTCAAGTCTTAATTTTTGTGTACCAACTGATGTGGCATATGAGTTGTCATATTTTTATTAGTAGATGTAATCACTTATCATTAATTGACGTGATAATATTTTAAACATCCACCAATATAAAAATGACAATTCAATACATACCACATCAGTTGGTACACAAAATTAAGATTTAAGTTGGTGTTGCTAGCGTTATTCTTATCGTGAATATTCCCACAAAATGATGATCAACTCACATCAATAAATATTTAACGTGTAGGTTACATTGATATAGCCAAATAAAGGCTAAGATATCGACGAGTGATCTTCAGAAGACTACATACACCTAAAACTCATATCGTGTGACACATCAGCAAGATCTCGAGTCAGTAGCTTGGAAGGAAACGAGTACGTTTTGTATTTACAGGAATTTTAGCAAAATTTAATAAACCATTAATCAGAAACGTAATGAAAGAATTTAGAGGCAAAACATGAATAACTATATATATATATAGTGCTTACTTGATAGGCCTCCCTGATCGCACGAGCACTCGGTACCTTGAATTGTGTGTTACCAAATGTTTTGTTGATTTCTCTGCCAAAATAGGATTAACAAGCAAATTAATTAATTAATTTTTATTTTTGTTTCTTGTAGCGGCATGGAATAAAGAAATTTCTTCCAAATTGTAACAATTTCTAACAATTAATGTGAACAAGGAAACTGCGTAAAATTTTAGTACTCGACTGTTTCGCATACTGCTCCATAGAAATCAGCCAAGTTAGGCTCAGAAGATCCCTTCCCAAAATGCTTAGTGTAGCGTTTTTCTATTATGGGAACAATGTCCTTCATCTTATTCTCCTCACTTCCTGCATGAATTAATGATAATAATGCAAAAGATAATATTGATGATTTATTCTTAAAAATCTCTCTACGTAAATGATCAATACAATAATACAATTCATGATAGAAATATATACATATATATATATATATATATATATATATAGTACCTGGAGCAAATTTCTTAAGGGATTGGCCCATATTGGCAATTGGGTGTTTTGCGAAATATAATTTGGGTGATTGCTAATTTATTAATCGTTGGATAAATAGAAGTGACAAGAAGATAATTATATGGTTTTGGGAGGTAATCCTAGCTATAGGATCAACGAGACTTGTTTTGTAGGAATAGTATATTTGCATCTCTTTGGCAATAAGCAAAGCCTTGGAGAAGTATTAGCTTTGATATAAGGTAGCACATGGAATAACGTAGTATCATCCTTAAGGAATGGATGCGCAAATGGGCAATTTACTATTTAAGTTGACAAAATTGTTGGCCATCAATCGCACCTTATATACTCATCGCCCGAAACGGAAAGCACCTTAACCTCTTAAGTAAGCAGCTAAAGCAGAAATATTTCTCACTATTGGATTCATGTTTTATGTCCAATTTTAAAGTTGCATGGGCTGTGTTTAGAGTTATTTTTATTTTTATTTTTCACGTTTTTCGAGAAAGAAAAATGAAAACGAAAGAAAAACGGCGTTTAACACAATTAAAGATAAAAAACGGAAATTAAAATGACTTTTTAGTTTAGTGTAAATAATCTCTTGATAAAACTACTAAACGCATTTTCAAAAATAATTTATGTCTGAGATTGAAAACGTTTTCATTTCCACTTTTATACAAAAAATAAAATCATTTTAGAACGAGATCTAAACGCACTCATAATGTTTAACTAACCATATGATGTCTCATTATATAATGGACTCAAATAGAAAATAGCACATAAATAATTAATTTAAAAATATTTAAAATTTTTCAAATGACGTACGCGATATATTGTGGTTGATTAGACACAACTTGAAACATCAATATTAAACGAAAAAAAAAATGCCCTTGACTTTGGTTCTTGTTAGGTATTTTATGGCAAAACCCAAGTTATGTTTATCCTCTAGGGTTTAAGGTTGAGTTGAATTTAAAAATTGAAAAGAAGATAATGTGTGGAAGCATGATAGATTCATAATCAAGTTCAAAAGAAGATAAGGACAAGAAGATTGAAATCTTAAAGAAAATCAATATAAGATTATATTTTATCTCATAGGGCAAAAAAAATAAAAAAATAAAAAAAAGAAGACAATTACTAATTTAATTAGAGATAAATTCTAATTCTACTTGAATTTACCATTCAACTTTGAGAGGAGTCTATATAGATTGCTCTGTAAGTCCCAAATCAAAAGAAATTGTTATCTTCCTAGGTTTCCATGCATATTATTTTGAGAAGTCTGAGTTTAATTGGTATGACACTCGGGAAAAGCAGCTTCACAAGACAGAATTCGTTCAAGAGGTCATTGACACAGTGCAAAATATTCGCAGAAGATTAGAGACGGCTCAGAGCCGGCAGAAGAGTTATGCAGATAAACGCTGGAGACCCTTGGAATTTTCTGTAGGGGACTCGTATTCCTGAAAGTCGCACCAATGAAGGGTGTGATGCGTTTTGGGAAGAAAGGTAAGTTGAGCCCATGGTACATAGGACCTTTCGAGATCATTGAAAGAATAGGAAAGGTAGCTTACCGACTAGCTCTGTCGCCATATTTGGCTTCAGTGCACAGCGTGTTTCATGTAGCAATGCTCCGGAAGTACATCTCGGATCCATCACACGTGTTACAGTATGAACCTATCCAGGTCCATGAAGATTTGTCCTATGAGGAACAACCAGTTCAGATTCTAGCCAGAGAGGAAAGGAAACTCAGAAGTCGTAGTATTCCAATGGTTAAAGTTCAGTGGAAAAACCACCATGTCGCAAAAGCCACTTAAGAAGTAGAGGAAGAAATCAGACATAAGTACCCCAATTTGTTCTGATTTTTGGGACAAAAATTTCTTAAGGAGGGGTGAATGTAACGACCGAAAAAATTTTAGGTCTAATCCGGACAGTCTGGTATTTGACTGAAATTCTCTCCGGAACAAAAAGTAGTAGAATTTCAGCTTGATCAAGGAAATGTTATCTAGAAACTTTATGTATGAGGTAAAATTTTCCAAAAAGTGTAAAGTTATAATACAAATATTTTTACAGAGAAAATTCATAAATATCAGTTATGAATAGTGAAATATTTGTTAAAAGTTAGAAATTTTAGTGGGTATATTTTAGTTATGAAAAATTGAAATATCTGGTAAGTGACCAAATAACCAGTTAGAAAAAGTGCAGAAATATTATAAGGAAAAAAGTAAAAGTTCCTAAAACAGGATTTTCCCGAGTTAGTTAAAGCGGGAAATTGCTCAAAAACTAGTACCGCGAGGGTACGCGTTTTGGGTAATTCTGAATCAATTAAAATGAAAATTTCAGAAAAAGAAATTGACTAATGAGATACCCAAGAGAAGTGGGTTGAACATGAGAAGTTTGACCCAGGGTACTCGACAGTCCAGAAAAGCAGTATAGAACCTGTACCGGGTAGAACGAGTTATTGAAAACTCAGGAAACGAGAAAAATAAGGTGAAACTCTGCCGAAATTTCCTAAAATTTAGTTAGTAAGCAATGAGTTAGTAATCCAATTTTAGAGAATGAATAACAGTTTTAAAGCTCGGAAGTGAATAGATTACAATTCAGAAACCGAGATACACGAATAGGTGTAATTTGCCTTTTGAGCTAGAATTCGGCCTAGAGGGGAAAAAGGTTCAGAAATGAGTTGAAATTGATTTAGGAATCTAAGTATGAGGAATTGTGATTTGGAATAGGAAATTTATACCTATTTCCATGAAATAGGTTTTGACACGAGAGTCGAAGCAACGAGAAAGAACTTCCAGCAAGCGGGAATCCTAGTAGTTTAAAGCATGTTTCACACGAGCATATTTGCATCATAACTCTTAATGTAATTTTTACTAGTTTATCATGTATGCATGTTTATACTTGCTGAGCGTTAGCTCATCAGTTTACTCGTGTGCAGGTAACAAAGGTAAGCAGCCAACCATATAGTGGTTTTGCTTGATGGACATGCAGAGGCAAGGGTAGCAGAAATGTCATGGGCACACGAGAGTGGTCTCTACTACGCACGCTTAAGAAAATAAATTCTGCTGCAAATTAATGTAACATAGAACATTAGTATGTATATTCAGTTTTAAGAAAAAGATATTACAACCATTGTCTTAGTAAAGAACAACGGACTGTAATAAGTTAAGATAAATTTTCGGGGACTAGTTTTATACCCGAATCCTTAAAGTAATAGCAAGATATGTTATTAGTGTAACAACATAACATGTTAAGAACCCGAGGGTTAAAGTAAAGAAAAAAAATTACCCGTGTACGAACATAATTTAAAGAGACGATAGTCTAGAAATGAATAATGGATTAGACTATAACTTAGCCTATTAGTAGTAGTGTAAGGTATGGCGACCGCACTGCCAGGGTGCGAGTCGTCACAGTTAGTATCAGAGCGGCGTTCCTATTCCAACCATGATAAGTCCCGCACCTATGCTTCTGCACAGTCCAGGTAAATTAGTTTATGAACTAAAACTGAAATTGCTTATTTCTTTTGGCAAGACAGAACATGTACTAATGGATCGATCACATCCATCATCCCGGTTAGTGCCCACATCATGAGAGAATACGTTGTGGGGACAGGTAGGAACGTTTCTAACCTCACGGTTCTGACAAACAGAGAGGTCGGTACCCACTCCTGCTAGATATAGCCATCCGCTAGTGGATCGGGAGTTAAGGGCTCTAGAGCCCATGGTGGCCGAGGCTGCACACCGAGCAAGGAGAGTCGTCTTGACTACAGGTCGAGCCGCAGCCAGGTTCTACACCTGTAATCCACCTTTCTATGATGGACTCTCATATCCCACTAGAATTAGGGATTGGCTGCACCATGTTGAGTACGTGATGCGAGCTTATGATATAGCTCAAGAGGAGTGGGTTATGCTCGTAGCTAGTTTGTTGGACGACAATGCCCTAATCTTTTGGCAAGCTTTAGATGAGGATGAGATATCAGAGATGCAATGGGAAGAGTTTTGCCACATGTTGAAACATCAGTTTCTTTCCCAAGTCATGCCATCAGAGTCGGCGCCACAACTGAGTAGAGAGACACAGAACCAGGTGAGTGTAGCTGTAACCTACACCTAAGCTCGAGAGTTTCTCATATAAGCCGAGAGGGCTAGTATGAGATCGGTTGAAGCAGTTGTAGCCTATATAGCGAGAGTCTTGACAGAGGGACTAGCTCCGAATCAGATTTTTAATCTAAGTGAGGAGGAGCGGTGTCAAATCCTATGGAGAGGTCTGACGGAAGAGTACCAGTTTCGGCTAGTTTCGCGATCGGATCAGACCCTCGCACAGTTTATCACCGAGGCGAAGCAATGTGAGCGCCAGATGCTAGAAGAGAGGACAGGGCCAGCGGCGGTTAGGCGAGACTTCCCATTTTCTAACACCCGTATCAGGAGACATGACACGGAAGCCACTACCTCTCGACAACGACCGAGACTCGAGATAGAGGCAGCGGACGAGCCTATAGCCGTTTGGCAAAGATGGACCTACGTTAGGACCGTTGGTGAGGAAGCTAGTGATAACCCTCAGTTGGATCCAGAGGAAGACCCTGAGGAGGATCCCGAGGAGGATCCGGAAGAGGATCCTGAGGAGGATCCGGAGGAGGATCTTGAGGAGGATCTGGAGGAGGATCCTGAGGAACACTTAGATGATGAGGATTAAGTTAGGACTTAGCGTTTTATTTATTTGAATATGACGCAAGGTTATGTAAATAGTATTGACTGAAAGGCTTAAAAGCCTTAACTTTTGTGATGATTTGTATATGATGTGATATGCATGATATGGGACATGCATAATAGATAACATATAGAATGTATGTTTTGATAGTCATTATGAGAATGAATGATAGTTAAAAGTATAGCCAGTCAAGAACTTCTAGAAGCAGTTCTTTTTGCACTTAGATTAACGATGTTGCTCTTTTGATTAATATAGACACAACAACATGGTTCGTACACATCCAAAGAGAACACAAGCAGAACATAATCCTCCAGCACCAGACCTAGCTGAAGAAGTAGCAGGTCTCAGGAGGCAAATAACATCCCAAGTTGAGGAATGCAGACAGTTACGTGAATTGCTTACCCAGTTGATTCAGGGTCAGCAGGTTGGAGGAGCACCCCCTCCACAGGCTGTGCCAGCGCAAGCCGCCCAACTTGAGCAACCCCCAGAGAGGGTTGAACCCCAAGAGCCAGTAAGGGGTGAGATGAGGCATTGAGTAATGGTTCCACGGGAACCATTGTATGTGAGGTTTAAGAGAATGGCACCTCCAGAGTTTGATGGGTCAGCGGATCCAGTTGAAGCTGAGGAATGGTTATCATCCATTCAGACAGTGTTTGAGTTTATGGAACTCACCGACAGGGAGAAGATTCAGTGCGCTGCTTTCGTGTTGAAGAAAGATGCCCGCTATTGGTGGGAATCAGTGTGCGCTAGAAGGAATGTGAGACATATGTTATGGGATGAATTCTTGTGGGAATTTAACCGTAAGTATTACAACTTAGAAGCCCTGAAGACTCAGCAGAATGAGTTCAACAATTTTAAGCAGGGCGACATGACAGTTGTAGAAGCATGCCGGCGATTTAATCAGTTGGCACGACTATGTCCTCAGTTGGTTCCAACATAGGAAGAAAAGGTTAGGAGGATGGTTAATATGCTCCGAGGAGATATAGCCACTGTTGTGGAAAGTGGGGAGTATCCACCAACCACAGTATCAGATTTAGTGAACCGGGCAATACGTGCGGAGCATAACATTGCCAAATCTAGAGAGGAACGGGCTAAGATGTGGGAAGACAAGAAGAAATAGAGAGAAAAGGCAAAGGCACCCACCAAGCAGAGCCCCGGTGCTAATCCACAAAGCCAAGGAAGCCGAAGTGACTAGGGATCAAAACTTGGACAGGGGAGCCAGCAAAACCCCAGTAAGAGAAAAGGGAATCGCAATCAGAATCAGTGAAATCTCCAACAGAAGCAGGTCCAGTACACCAGTCCTAGTGTTCCTATCTGCCTGACGTGTGGAAAGAAACACTTCAGAGAGTGTAAAGCCGGCACAGATGTATGCTATACGTCTGGACAGAAAGGACATTCTGCAAGGCAGTGTCCGTTCAAAGCAGGATCTCCTGGAACGGCACCACCAAGGCCATAAGTTATGCAATTTCACGCCATGCAAGAGCAAAGGGTATTCTTGACCCCTCAGCCGAACAGATTAGAAGCTTCTCCATAGGCCAATGCTCACCTAATGACATACACCAAGGAGGAAGCTGAGGCAAGCACATCCAACGTAGTGACAGCTCAGCTTACTATTGCTCATGTCCCTGCATGAGCATTATTTGATGTAGGAGCCACACATACATTTACATCAATAGAATTTGTTAAGCGAATACTACATCCTCAAGAAAAGATAAGGCAAGCCTTTAAGACAGCGCTACCATCCAGTGATGTGTTGTTGTCTAGTCACTGGTTACGTCATGTACCAGTAGAGATAGTAGGAAGAGAACTAAGTGCAGACCTAGTTGTACTGAACTTAGTAGATTATGATGTGATCCTAGGAATGGATTTTCTAGGAAAGTATAATGCTACAATAGACTGTAGAAAGAAAAAAGTAGTTTTTCAGTCAGAAGGAGAACATATGTTTGAGTATATGGGTTCCACATTAGGGACACCTAGACGTTTTATTAGTTCCCTAGAAGCCCGACGATTGATGTCTAGCGGATGCACCAGATATTTGGCGTATGTGGTGGATAGAAACCAGGAAGGGAAACTTTAGTCAGAAGACGTTCCCATAGTCAAGGAGTTCCTAGACGTTTTTCCAGAGGAACTACCCGGACTTCCTCCAGATCGGGAAATAGCTTTTGAGATAGAGCTTCTCCCAGGCACCGCACCAATATCCAAGCACTGTACAAGATGGCTCTAGCGGAATTGAAGGAGTTATGGGTTTAACTCCAAGAGATGTTAGACAAAGGCTTTATTAGATCGAGTTTCTCGCCATGGGGAGCTTTGGTCCTCTTTGTCAAGAAGAAGGATGGCACGCTTCGGATGTGCATGGACTATAGAGAGCTCAACGAAGTCACCATCAAGAACAAGTACCCATTGCCACGAATTGATGACTTGTTCGACCAGTTGAAGGGAGGTACCACGTTTTCGAAGATCGACCTTCGATCAGGGTATCATCAGCTTAAGATTAGAGGAGAAGACATTTACAGGACGACATTCAAAACTTGGTATGGACACTCTGAATTCTCAGTGATGCCATTTGGACTTACAAATGCCCCAGCGGTGTTTATGGACCTAATGAACAGAGTTTTCAGATCCTACTTAGATAAGTTTGTTATTGTTTTTATCGATGACATCCTTATATACTCACGAGATCCGCAGGAGCATGCAGAACATTTGAGGATCGCACTACACACGTTGAAGAAACATAAGCTATATGCGAAGTTTTCTAAGTGCGAGTTCTGGTTAGATAAAGTCCGTTTCCTCGGACATGTAGTATCCAAGGAAGGAATCACCGTGGATCCAACAAAGGTGGAAGCGGTTGAAAGTCGGCCAGTTCCAAAGAGTGTTACGGAAATTCAAAGTTTCCTAGGATTGGCAGGGTATTACAGAAGGTTTGTGGAGGGATTTGCTCGTCTTGCAGCTCCCTCACTGCCTTGACCAGAAAAGATAGAAGGTATGAATGGACAGATGAATGTGAGCAGAGTTTTAGAGAGATCAAAAGAAGATTAACTAGTGCTCCAGTGCTCACGATCCCAGAAGAGGGAGAAAAATTTGACATCTACAGTGATGCCTCAAAGACAGGACTATGAGCCGTGTTGATGCATAATGGCAAGGTCATTGCTTACGCATCTCGGCAACTGAAGGATCACGAGCGTAATTACCCAACGCATGATCTTGAGCTAGCTGCAGTAGTCTTTGCACTCAAGTTATGGCGGCATTACCTGTATGGAGTTCAATGCCAAATTTATACGGACCATCAGAGCCTAAAGTACTTCTTCACGTAGAAGGAGCTTAATATGAGACAGAGACGATGGCTTGAGCTTGTGAAGGACTATGATTGTGAAATCCTTTATCATCCAGGTAAAGCCAATCGTGTAGCAGACACCTTGAGTAGAAATCCAGCACTGCGGACTCCAGTGGAGACCGAATTGTTACCAAAGCAGCTTCGACAAGAGATTAATCTTCTAGATCTCGAATTAATCTCCGGTAAGTTAGCTTCTCTGAGATTGCAACCCGTGCTGCAAGACGAGATATGAGAAGCTTAGAAATGTGATCCAATTATGGATAGATATAGGAAGGAGATAGTAGAGAATGCAAGGTCGAATTTCAACATTTCAGAAGACGGAATTCTCCTGTACCAAAGAAGAATTTGTGTACCGGATCAAGAAGGGATTAAGAAGCAGATACTAGCAGAAGCGCACATCACGCCATATTCCGTACACCCAGGCACCACCAAAATGTATCAAGACTGGAAACAACATTTTTGGTGGAAGCGAATGAAGAACGACATAGTTGATCATGTTAGTCGTTGCTTGACATGCCAGAAGGTCAAAGCAGAACATCAGAGACCAGCTGGAAGCTTACAGCCACTAGAGATCCCAGAATGGAAGTGGGAACACTTAACCATGGATTTTGTGACTGTACTTCTGAGAACCAGTGATGGACATGATGCCATCTGAGTAGTAGTAGATCGGCTAGCGAAATCAGCGCATTTCATTCCGATCAAGATAACTTACTCCTTAGAGAAATTAGCTGAGTTATATGTGGCTAAGGTATAAAGCTACATGGAGTACCAGTTAGTATAGTGTCGGACAGAGATAGCCGATTTACCTCCCATTTTTGGAGAAGTGTTCAGGAAGCAATGGGGTCAGAATTACGCTATAGCACAGCATTTCATCCCCAGACAGATGGACAATCAGAGAGAACAATTCAGACCCTAGAGGATATGCTTCGCACTTGCGTTGTGGATTTCAAGGGCGCATGGAGTATGAAGTTGCCATTGATCGTAGTCTCGTATAATAAAAGTTATCAAGCTTCCATCGGCATGGCTCCGTATGCAGCACTTTACGGAAGGAAATGTAGATCCCCAGTTCATTGGTATGACACTCGGGAAAAACAGCTTCACAAGACATAATTCGTTCAAGAGGCCATTGACACAGTACAAAAGATTCACAGAAGATTAGAGACGGCTCAGAGCCGGCAGAAGAGTTATGCAGATAAACGCCGGAGACCCTTGGAATTTTCTGTAGAGGACTCCATATTCTTGAAAGTCGCACCAATGAAGGGTGTGATGCGTTTTGGGAAGAAAGGTAAGCTGAGCCCACGGAACATAGGACCTTTCGAGATCATTGAAAGAATAGGAAAGGTAGCTTACCGACTAGCTCTGCCGCCAGTTTTGGCTTCAGTGCACAGCGTGTTTCATGTAGCAATGCTCCGGAAGTATATCTCGGATCCATCGCACGTGTTATAGTATGAGCCCATCCAAGTTCACGAAGATTTGTCCTATGAGGAACAACCAGTTCAGATTCTAGCCAGAGAGGAAAGGAAACTCAGAAGTCGTAGTATTCCAATGGTTAAAGTTCAGTGGAAAAACCACCATGTTACAGAAGCCACTTGGGAAGTAGAGGAAGAAATCAGACACAAGTACCCCCATTTGTTCTGATTTTGAGGACAAAAAT